ACATGAATTCATAGATGTAGCATTCCACTGTGGCGCTCTTGAGAGACTTTAACGAAAATATAGGAAAGTAAGAAGACCACTGACTCATTATCAGTCGGATGATTGAAGTTTTGCCTCTTAAACGAGAAGCAAAACTTCAGTTGTCTCAAGCGGTATTTAAAAACAGGAGTACTAAACCTTTCGACTCCATTTCCTTAAAACGGTCAAAAGCGCGTTGGGCAGGCGTAGCCATTTTGTTTCGAGGGAGGCTTGGTCGGGTGAGCAGGGTTCTCCTCCCCCCCCCAGCTAAGGGGGGGAGTTCGGGGGGGCATGGAATAATTCCTAGTTAAGAGGGGGGATTTGGGTGGGTCTTCCCTCGGCAAATTTTTTAAATTTTAATTCTATTTGGACGCATTCTGAGGCTTCCATGACGCAGATTTTCCATCAATTTCTGCGAAAAAATTACGTATCTTTTTTTACTTTCACATCTAGATAATTTTTAAAATTTTAAATTTATTTCGACGCATTTTGAATGTTCAAAATAGGTCTTTTTGTATTTTCTGTCTCCCCTTTTCTTAATTTTTTCCCTCTATATTTGCTTTCGGAGGGGGCTTGAGCCCCCCAAGCCCCCCTCTGACTACGTGCCTACGTCCCCTCTGCTCGGTAAATACGATCTATTTTTAAGAGTGCGTCCTCGAAGTTTACCTGGCAACGCGGTGATGCTCCGAACCGGGATCCCAACTGAAATAATTGAATCGTAATAGAAATAATAACACTCATCATGCGTGGCTCCAGCAACCATCGTTTAGATTAAAGACGCGAGACCGGGCCGCGCCGCGCCGCGACGCGGTTCGAGTGAGCTGTGAGCGCAAGCCGTGCACGCGTCACTCGGAGCTGCCCGACAGCCCCAGCCAGCCCCCTGTGTCCCCCGGTCCCCCCGCCCCCTAATGCCACCATTCAAATGTAAATCAAAATTAATCGCGACGCTACCCGTTCGTGTACCTTCGGCCATTCGCGAGCACCCATTCCCAGTGCTCATTGTTAAGTGTTTCTAATAGGAGCACCCGCTCAACGGGCTCGAGGGAGTCAAACATCATGACGACCGCTGGCAAATAGCGGCACTACTGATGAACATGTTAACCTTGACAATGGGTTTGTTGCATGCAAGAGATACATCCAAAAAAATTTGAGCTATCAGCCGATTTTACAAATATATGCAATGATTGCGACGCAGGCCATGCTTTAATAAAATAGTTAGTGAGTTAGTTAGTTAGTTAATATGTTTAAAGACATTCAGCGTCACAGGCTATTAACGTCTTTACAAAGAATTTGGAAAATGGGTGTATACGTACAAAAATTGAGATTTTTAAATTAAGAGAGGTAAAGAGTTTCAGAATTTTGGTAGTGACATTGGGTTCATCGCATATGTTCATGTTAGTGGGTTTGTGTTCCTTTTGACTGTCGGTGAGTAGATCTGTGATCCCTGAGGGCAGAGCAGCTCATAATCACGTGTTTGACGGTTAGAGGTGATAAATTGCCGAAGTTACAGATGGTATGTTTGTGAATTCTTGAGGAAAACAGATGCGCCTTCATTTACAGCGTAGGCCAAAAGAATCGAGTTTTGCAATTTGGAGTAGTTATATCAAAATACCACTCATCGGGTTGATTACACTTATCTATACAACACGCAAATCAAGTCACCAAAGTACAAGTTCTGAGTGGTCACCAATACGCTGCATGAAAAGATGCACGATGATCTGAATTCCCCTTGTAAAAAGTTTCCTTATTTAATAATACTGTCTGGTGGCGCATTTCCTGCTCACATGGAGTATGACTTTTTCATAAATTACAGCCCACCAAAGCACCGAGACTACATAAATCTAATTTTTCTGTGTTCTCTACCTCGTTCTCCCCCCCCCCCTCCCTTGAGTGCGAAAATGATGGCCTTGATGCGGGCAGACGAAAATCCATTGTCATGCGCGGCGGTAGCACCTATATGGGCCGGTGTGACCCTCTGAGGAAGTTATGAGTCCCGGCTAAATGGAGAGTGATCCTGCTCCGATAATTGCCTCCTTTCCGGACGGATCTTATATCTTCGGCCGAGAGTGTTGCTCGTCCGGCAGGGCGGATAAAGAAGCACGAGCCTTGGGTCCCGTCACACGGTGAGCGGCTTCTGCAATTTTTGCGACCAGCGGGCCGATTATTGAAACTGACAGACAAAGCTATAGACAAAGACGACAAAAGGGATTTGGAGGGATCCTATTGGTGGAAGCAGGTGGTGGCAATGGACATAGGAGGTTGGTAATGGACTATAACTA